TTTCCAATGTGTCTGTGGGAATCGAATTCCATACATCTTGAACTTTTTTTACTAGCTCTTCCCTCGTCCGGGGTTGTGGTTCTTTGTATACATTTTCCTTAAGTATGGACCACAGGTTCTCCAGGGGATTCAAATCTGGGCTGTTTCCGGGCCACACCCCCTTGCTCCAGACCGTTGAAACTTGCGTCTTGATGAGACTCAAACTCGCTTTTGCTGTATGGGCTGTAGCACCATCCTGCATGAAAACTATTTTTCTTTCATTCGGAAATATTTCCTTGTTCCCCATGCTATCGAAATAGATAGGTAATATTTTTTCCATATAATACTTTGCATTGACTGTTTGGCCTTTTGGTATGATATGTAGAGGAGTCACGCCACGTGCACAAAATCCACCCGCTACCATAACTTTAAGCCCGAATTTTGGGACTGCTCTTGATGGTACATCCGATTTGTTTTCTGTCCTGTAACGAACATTTTGTTGGTTCAATTTTGGATATAGCTCAATAATAGATTCGTCAGTCCAAAGGATGTGACTGCGCAATTCTTCACCAAGTCTTTTTTCACTCAAATGGCCACTTTTCTGAAGGAGTTCTCCAAATTTCAGACGGTCATCGATATTTTTTTGTGACATGAGAGGTTTTTTGGTTAGTTTGTAAGCTGTGTGACCCCACCTCGTAGATTTCACAAATTTTTGCACGGTCACATAGTTAATTTGCTTCTTCTTCTCTTTATAGCGTTTTGAGTCATTTAACTCCCTTGCAGAATTACGTAATGAACTACCGGTTTTCTTGTAAAGTCTGTTTTTAATCATTCTCTTTGTGGTAGGTGACACCTTTCTGGGTCGCCCGGGTCGCTTTTTGTCGTGGACAAAATTTTTGTTCTTCCATTTCCAAACAGTTCTGCGGCTGCAGCCCAATTTTTGCACAATTTCTGCAGGTTTAAACCCCTGCTGATGTAATGTTTGTATCTTAACTCTAAGATGCTCATGACTTACACGTTTAGTTGTTCCTCCCATGGTAAAAATTTGAAATAAATAACTTCACTGGTTCAAAAGTTCCAGCTGAATTTGTAACAACCGCGCTCCAAAAAATTCATGGGATCGGACTTTATTAACACCCTTTATTTGCGTGCATGCATACCTGTCCAAAAGAAATTCATTCAAACTTCAGTCATCCCAATTTATGACTGAAGATTTTAATTCACATTCAGTCATTTTCCTTCAAACTCATTTCATTTCAAATCATCTGACTTCATTCTTGCTTCGCCCCATGTATTAAGCATAGGGTGAAAAATGAAATGAGTGAGAAATCCTTTCATTCAAACTCATTAATCTTAAATGACTGAATCTTTCACTCATTTTCATTCAAATCACAGGAAATTCATTTTCATTCACCATCATAATCAGTCACATGAATGAAAGTGAACAGGTATGCGTGCATGTATGGCAATTGATTCCGTTTTGTGAACAAAATTTGGAAATTAGGCAGATTTGGACGCCAATTCCATAATTTTGATATTTTGCGACGAACTTCAAATTTATTTAGATAAGGTTGATTCATCAGATTAATTTTTAAAACATTTTTTCGAGATCACCGTCCATCGATCCCAAATCATCTCGAGACACCACGCGTCCTTGTCGGGCCAGACCCTCGGATTAAAAACATAATTAGACCATTCTGTCCCACAGATCAACTATTTATGTTTTTCAAAATATTTTTAAGGAGGATGAGAGGCTTATCTTAATTCCGAATTAACAAATCCAAAATTTACTTGTGATTCATACCTTCATTTTTTTTCATTTTTATTTTTCGACCAATAACGTTTCCAAAAATGTGTTAGAATATGCATAATTATTTTTTTATGCGCTTCCGATTTGGTGTATGTACTTGTCATTTCCGAAATATTTTATAAAATTTGCTGATTTATTGCAAAATGCGTAATTACGAATGTAGTGTGTTAAAATCCGATATTTTCTACAGTCTTGACGGCAGAGTTAATCTAATTCCAAATCAGTTGACTAAACTTTACAAAGTAGATTATTATGCGATAATACTTGTAAGTTGTTTAATGGTTCAAAATCCGTGTCAAATTTAAGATTGAAATAAAATTATCAATTAACAAAACCAAAATTTACCTGTTATTCAAAATCTCATTTCGCCTCCATCTTTGGCATCTTTATTTCCCGACAAATAACGTCTACAAAAAAATGTGTTAAGATAGTCACAATCTTTTTTTACCAGTTGCTGGTTTGGTGTACTTGTCATTTCCGAAATATTTTATAAAATTTGCTGATTTATTGCAAAAAAAGTCGTAATACGTATTTTATATTAATAAGGCTTCGTGTGGTTTGTTAAAATTTGATATTTTACTGGAGAGCGATGTTAATACATTCCAAATTTGTTGACCGAATTTGACAGAACAGATCATTCAATGTTCCTTGCTCCACATTTTTTAAATGGGTTTTGGAGGTTAAAATTCATGTCAAGCTTCAAACTGGAGAAAAATTGGTAATTAACAAATCAATAATTTTTCTCCATTATTCATAATCTAATCTCATTTTGCCTCCATATTTATTTCTCGAACAATAACGAATATAAAAATGTATTTAAATATTCATAATTATTTTTACTGGTTTCTGGTTTAGCTTAGTTGTCATATCCGAAATATTTTTGTAAAATTTGCTGATTTGCCTGGGAAAAAATTCGTAATATCTACGTATTTAATAAGGTTTGAATGCGTGTGTGATTTGTTAAAATTCGATATTTTGTACAATCTTGACAGCGGAGATAGATTTACAAATTTCTTGACCAAATTGAATAACGCAGATTGTGATGTTGTCGCAGTTCTTTAAAATACTTTTTGGAGGTAAAGATCGATGTTAAAAATCATAACAAGAACTTCGCAATTAAGAAGTCCAAAATTTATTCATAATCCCATTTTTTCTCAATTTGTATTTATCAATTCAATTGATAAGGTTTACAAAAATGTGTTAAAATATACATAATCGAGAGCTATCTTATGATATTTGTCGTCTAGTTTGCGAGATAGTTAAATTGTTAGTGAGATTTTTTGGTGTGCATAAATTATTTACTGACTAAATATTGACTAGATTTTCTATTAAAAAATGTGCAATTCTGCGCTCAATTTGACCAGATAAAGTGCAAAGGTGCGCAAAAAATTAGCCATGTCGAAGCAGCTATTGGTCTCGAGACGCCTCCCGTCCCTGTCTGGTCAGCCCCCCGGACTAGAAATTCGACTATTCTGTCCCCTACATAGCTCATTCAAAGTAATTGAATTATTTAAATTTTAGAAATATTTTCCTAGAGATGCAGAACGTACCTCCGTTACTGATTGTCTCATTTTACCTCCATCTTTATTTCTCGGCTTTTAAGGTTTGCAAAAATGTGTTAAAATATTATTCATATATTTGATATAAGTATTTCATGCATCAATCCTGGTCTAGCTCATGGATGACTGAAGGAGCTTCGCTTATAGAGATTGGTATTTCATGGGTCGAGCTCCCCGGACTTGAAATTCGACCATTTCGCCCTCTATGCACGTAAAAAATGCTACCCAAAATTAAAACTTTTAAAAACACGACAAAAACTATGAGGAGATAATCTCTGTTAATTATAAATTTTTTTACCATCTTTATTTATCGACTTTTAAACTTTACAAAAATGTGTTAAAATATTTCTCATTATTTTTTATCTGGTTTACGAGGTATGTGGTTAAAATAGTAGTGACAAATTTTGGTGTACATAAATTATTGATTAATTATTGACTAGATGTAGATGTTCTTTTAAAAAATGTACAGTTTTGGGCTCAATTTGACAACAAAAAGTGTAAAATCCACCCGTCCTCGTCTAGTCACTTCCCAGGACTAGAAATTCGACTATTCTATCCCCCGCAAACATCAAATTATTAAAATTCTTACTTTCAAATATCCTGATCTCAGTTACTGACAATCTCATTTTCCCCTTTATTTAACGACTTTTACGGATTACAAAAATGTGTTAAAATATTCATCATTATATTTTATTTCGGATTAGTTAACGAGGTAGTTAAATTAATAGTAAGATTTGTTTTAGTATGCATAAATTATTAAATAAATTTCTTAATTAAAAATGTCCACTTCTGGGCTCAATTGACCAGAAAAAGTCTAAAATTGTGCAAAGAAGGCAAAAAATGTGCAAAATTTTTAATAACCATTTACGATTTTTCAGTAGGATTTAAAAAACTGCGTGACGTTGCCAAATGACGTATCTTAATAATTTTGAAGAACTTCATAACATGTGAAAATTATAGAATTGACGTCCAAATCTGACTTATTTTCAAGTTTAGTTTGCAAACTGGACTGAATAATTCAGTCCAGTTTGCGTAGTATTTATATATAAAAGAAATGGAAATTCAGTCTGAATTTCCATTTCTTTTATATATAAATACAAATTACTCAAAAAAGGAAGAAGAAAAATGATCTAAATTTGTAACCAATAGAAATATGCGTGTATAACACTTCCAATTGAATGTAGTTCTGACGGGAACTTATTTATTTTATTTTATTTATGTATTTTTATGAATTAACAAATTTTAATTTTCGCATTTAAAAAAATGAAATACAAAAATTGTCAAAATGATAAACCACGATTTTATTTATCCTCAGATTTTTTAATTAGAAGATATCGCATATTTTTCTAAAATAAAATTGTAAATCTTGATAATCTTGCAAATATGGCTTATTTTGAAGCTGCTCAAATAGATTTACATGTACCTTATGAAAATTAGTTTTACCTTAATTTTCGTAATTTTGAGATAAAATTTGATCGTGAAATTATGTTCCGAAATTTCAACTTGTGGAAATAATGGAATTTGAGCCAGTTGGAAATTAGTCAGATTTGTACGCCAATTTCATGATTATTATATTTTTGATCAGACGTGAATATTAATTCAGGTTGAGCCTCTTGACATGAAATGACAATTTAAGAATTTCATTTCTGAGATATTTTAAGAAATTTGTTGATTTATTGCAAAACGCGTAATTAGGTTTGAATGTAGGGGAAAATGTGCTAAAATAATCCCCATTCATTTTACCTCCATCTTTATTTCTCGACTTTTAAGGTTTACAAAAATGTGTTAAAATATTATTCTTTAATTTTAATCTAGTTTACGAGGTAGTTAAATTATTAGTGAGATTTTTTTTAGTGCGGATAAATTATTGACTAGATTTTCTATTAAAAAGTGTGCAATTCTAGGCTCAATTTGACCACAAAAAGTGCAAAATTGTGCAAAAAAGTAGCCCCATTGACGCCGCTGTTGGTCTCGAGACGCCCCCCGTCCTCGTCTGGTCAGCCCCCCGGACCAAAAATTCGACCACTCTGTCCCCCAGAGGCTGAACTGGGCGAAAATTCAGCCCCATCGGAACCCCAGCGTGGTCCAGGACGTCATGGAACTTCTTAATTTCTGATGGTTTGACGGGTATCGGGTCGAGCAGGACGGTCCATTCGACGGCTTCGGTACAGTTTGGAGTGGTGAGGGAGCCCATGTAGCGGAAGAAGGGTGCCCCCTCTTTCGGAAGGAGGGAAGTCAAGTCCAAACCGGAAGTGGTAATGTGTTCCGGGTGGTCTTGGTAGGAAAGGGGGAGATGATCCGCGATCGTGTCGAAGGCTAAATTCTCATCAAATTCGGACCCCGCGGAAAGGAAGACGCCAAGAACGGAGAGACCTTTCGGGTCACCTGTGAGAGAAAATGGAGGTTTTGATATTGCGAAAAAATGTGCAAATTTTCTGATTTGGGAAGGAAAATTGAAATGATTTTCAAACATTTTGGAAATGGGACTTGAAAAATTTGAATACAACAAAATAATTTAATCGGTTTAAATTTTTTGTTAGCAGGGAAAAGTTTTGTAAATTGCAAGTATCGCAAGAGTTTTTTGAATTTTGTCAAATTTTGTAAATTTTTGAAATATTTTCTAAAGTTTTGTACAAATTTTATACAATTATGGAAATTTCATCAATTGACATTCTGTGTAATTATGTGTGGAGAAAATTTTACCTAATTAATGTCAAGTTAACTCCTGAAATACCTAATTTTTTACGTCAGGTTGTAAACTTTATCAACTTTTACGTGAATTATTGTTTCGCGAGATGAAATAATACTTTGGGCAAAATTAGAATATGTGGGAAGTTAAAGATTTCGAATTTATCAGTGTTTTTTAAATTTTTGATATTTACTCAAAATTTCAAAAACGCTCTAAAAAAGCTTAAACCTTAAGATTTTTTTTTGTTTCGTAAATTCTTTTTCCGTAAAAAATGAGCAAAAAAATTTGCATACCTGAACTAGCCGCATTTGCAAAGGACCCATACTTTTGGTCGTAATGGACCAAATGTAGCTCGACGGGCCAATGTTTTCCAGCCACCGTGTGCTCACTGCCATCGTCCACTTCTCCCCAGTGGAAGTGGATCTGGGCAAAGATGTACTTGGTCCCCTCCATCCCGTACCCCCACATCGCACCCTCTGACCGCAACTCCTCCGTCAAACTAACCTGGATCGTGTGCCTGAAATTCAGAATAAATTTTTAATTTGCGAATTTGTAATAATTTGGCAATGATTTTATCAACATTAAAAATTCATCTTTGTCACTACACAATTTGCTGGAAAACATATACTCGAAATTAGTAGGAGTTTTCACCGGAATTTGAAATCATGATGTGAAAAGGGGTTCAATTTTTTGCAATTTTATGATTTTACTTGTAAAAGAGTTTAGACTTGGGGACTTGTAATGGAAATTTCAATATCTTTCCCGCAGAAATTGACGGATTTTTTTTAGCAAAAAGAGCTCTATGCAGAGCTATATGTGTATTAAATATGCAGAATTTTGCACAAACTGTTCTGCAGAATAGAAATTTGCAAATTTTTCCTCCAGAATTTTACAAAACCCTTCACACGGTTTTCCTGCGGGATAATTATTCATTATAGGCTAATTACCCATTATTTTGCACCCAAAATCCTGACGCCGCCTGATACCCCGCCGTTTCAAAGGAGAGATCCACAACTTTTCCAGGTTTACGAACGAGCGGATATTTAAAATCTATAGGCGACTGACGCGCCCCTGTTTGACATTCGCCCGCCCATTTCGGACTGGACGGACCGCAATCGTCTCCTTGATAGCAAAATTCGTCGTCAGATGACCACGTGGACTGCGAGGTCACGGCGACGGCGAAAAATAATAACGTCGCGATGAAATAGCGCACCATTTTTTCGGTTATTGATTAATTGATTATCGATTTATTGACGGGGATTATTTCTCAATTGATGGGAAATTGGTAGGTGGTGGAGCGTTTTTATGCAGTGGGAAGATCTTGATAAGGTCCTCCGTTGGTTGTGTCGAGTCATAGTTGTGTGATTGATAACACATACTTATCATAATAAATTAGGTATGTTATGTTATGTTATATTTTTTTTCGTTGTGTTACTACGTCCACGCGCAGTACAAGTTTTGACGTAGAGGTGAGATGACACTGAGGATGAGGTGACGATTTGCAATGTCAAATGTCGGGATGATGAAATACTTAACACCGGAAAAAACTGATCTTTGCGTACACATTTTTTTCAGTAAATGTTTTCGAAATTGTTTTAAATTTCTGGGAATATTTGCACTTGAATGAAATATATTGATTTTGGGGGAGATTTATGTATGTAAATATGTATGGGGAAAGGATGTGATCGATTTGAAGTGAATTTTTTAACGAATTTGGTAGATTTTTGGGCGAATTTGAGCAATTTTGGGTAGAATCTTGATGAACTACATAGATTTGTGGGAGATTTTTTGACGAATTTGATAGATTTTTGGGGGAATTTTGACGAATTTGATGTATTCATACGGAAATTTTGACGAACTTAATAGATTTATAGGTGAATTTTCATCAATTTGTTAAAATCTTTGGGGGGAATATGAACAAATTTTATAAATTTAAGTAAGAGTTTTGACGAATTAAATAGTCTTTAGGTGAATTTTGATGAAAAATGTATAGACTTTTGGAAAGATTTTGACGAGTGTGATACATTTTTACGGGAAAATGTTGACCCATGTGACCGATTTCAGCAGGGGGATTTTTTTAACCTCGACTATCCCATGACCTAACCGTGACCCTCTTAAAATCGATCACATCCTTTATATATTTTTTTACGGGGGATAAAAAACAGTTCCAGTTATCAACTCTACTTTTTGCGTAAATATGTACATACGTCCTGCCAAAAACGTTTAGGTACACAGTTTTGTTTGTTACACAATGTGACGCTGATGGATGAATCAACGCATCAATCAATTATTTGAAGAGAAGAAAAAGTCATATGTCAATTTAAGCACCTACCAATTCGGACGATTATTAAAAATGTATGGTCATTAATTATGTATTGATGTACGCATTATGCAATCTACGTGGTAAGTGTCGCGTAAGTGCGGTGGCATGCATCGTGACACCTGAGCTACGTAGATATCAGGTAGGAAATATTATTACAAGCGAATCTGTCAGGTTAATGTCAATTTTTATGTTGTCAGTAATGAGCCGGCGTTTTTTTATCGGTGATAACTGAGCAGAGATGAGCAAAATACTGAGCCAAAATATTTAGAGGCGCAATTCACGCAGTGCTTGGTAATTTTGTAAAATAATTTTGGCAACTTTTAGAAATAAAGAGACGCCCTTGATCTGAGCAAATTTACAAAAATTTTGGAGCTAATTAAAAAAGAACATTTGTAAAATATTGTAAAAGTTTGTAGCTTTGTGGATTTTACAAAGTTACTGAGGTCTGGATGATAATTTTTTAGTCGAATATCAATTTATGAGTAGAAAATAATGAGCTAGAGTTTTTTCTTATCGATGATATTTCGGCAGAGATGAGCGAAATACTTTGTCAAAATATTTGAAGAAGCAATTCACGCAAGCATTGGTAACTTTGTAAAATGAGTAAATTTTGTACAATAAGTTTATAAACTTTTACAAAACAAAAAGATAGATGCCCTTGACGTCAGTAAGTTTAGAAAAATTTGTTATCTATTTTTCTTTGAAATATTGTAAAATTTTGTTAAAGTTTGTACGGGTTTTACAAAGTTACCAAGGACTGCGTGAATTGTGATTTTTAGTTCAGTTTGACGTCATAAATTATTTTTTGGGTCAATCCCTATGTTGAACACACCTCACAGATACTATCAAATATATAAAATGAAGCTACTGTAAGCCTTACAAATTAAAAGATAAATAGTTTGGAAGAGTAAATTGCCCGAAATTTGTTGATTTGAAGTTTTCAGAAAATTGGCGTGATTTTACAATTTCACATTTTTTCACACGGTTAAAAAATTCATATCCAATAATTTTCCAGTTTGACGCCAAGAACTAATAATTTAAGAAATATTTAAGGATTAAGGTCAAAAAGGGGATTTTGAGGGTCCGTGTAGATTATAATACAAATTATGGAAATTCTGGAAAAAGCAAATTTATGTAGGGTTTACACTGTTATAATCATAATGTGTGATTTAGATGCGTGATTTCTGCGATTTTACTGGAAGAAAGGGAAACAACTTGTTAACCCTTTATACATTCTAGAACAATAACAACTTGACATTTGTAATTTTAAAAACGTCAGGAAAATTAGTTTGAAACAATTGACTTGAAGTTTCCTGAATTCACATTTTTTTTACACGATTAAAAACTTCGTCTCCAATTTTGTTCTGTTTGACGCCACAAAATAATTATTAAAAAATATTGAAAATATTAAAATAAGATTGATTAGAATACAAAATGTGCTCATTTTATAAAAATAAATTTATACAGGGTTCGAACTGTGATAATCACAAGTTGTGATTTCTGTAATTTCATCGCCAAGCGTGGTTTCCGTGATTTTACTGGGGGAAAGTGGAACTAAATACTTTCTTGGACAAAACAAAACCACCTTGATATTCCGAAATTCTGAGCATTTTTCTGTCCGACTTGAGCCGATTGGAACAAAGGTACCGTTTGCATTTTATTTCTATCTTGACCAAGTTAAGATGAAAGTTGACCAAATAAACTGGTCTGATCGCGTATGAAAATGCTCATAATTTTATCCTGAATCCGAATATCAAACTAATTTTAACGTAAAACTGATACTAAAGAAATTTGTTCCATTTTTGCCAGAAATCACACAAATCACATATTTCAAAGAAATCACAGAAACGTTATTTGATTTTCCAAATCCTGAGATAATGTGTTATTTGACCAGTTTTTCCAAAATTTAGATAAATTCCTCAATTTTATTTTTCTCGAAATTAATTCCATAAATAGTTAATTTAATGTGGTTAATCTTGTTTAATGATTACTAATTTTTTCTTAAATTTGACGTCAATAATCAATTATTTATGAAATGGGGAGAAGATTGACGGAATAAAGATTTTTAAAAAATGGACCCATTGCTATTTACGTAAAAAAGTATTTAGGAAAAACTGTCGGAAATCAGTGTTTGAAATTTTCTTATTTTTTCAACAAAATTGGAATGTAACTCGAATCCTGTTTGTTTAATGAATGTTTTTGACGCCAATAATCAATTATTTAGAAAATTATGAAATAAATAACTGTTTTAAGATTCGATTATCATGGGCTCTAAAATCCGAAAGGTTTTGCTGTACATTATTCTGAAAAAATGTGCTGTTTACATAAAAATAATAATTTGAAAACGGCTGTCGGAAACATACCTGTTCAAAAATTTAGTTTTCATTCAAAAGTCATCCCAAATTCTAACTGAAGATTTTCCTTCACATTCAGTCATTTTCTTCAAAATTCATTTCACTTCATCTGATTTCATTTCTTACTTCGCCGCATGTTTTAAGCATAGGATGAAAAATGAACGGAGTGAAAAATCCTTTCATTCACAGTCATTCATCTGAAATGACGGAATCATTCAGCCATTTCCTCATTTCCACTCAAATGACAGAAAATTCATTTTCATTCACGATCATTCAGCATAATAATAAGTCAAATGAATGAAGGTGAACAAATGGGTTATTTTGAATTTTCCCAGTTTTTTCAATCAACTGCCTAATTTTGCTTTCCCATAATTTTTGCACCACTTTATTTGCTAAATTCCCGCCCAGGATGCTTTCTTTTTATATCGTATTTAAATTTATTCTGGAATATTATTATATTACGCCGCCGGTATTTAAAAATCCAGTTGTACAATAATACCAGGCGGTATTCATAGATACATGACTCTACCAAAGTGGTATTGGTAAGTAATACCCTATAGTAATAGCTCGGTATTAAAGTTTTACCATATCGGTAGCAAATTTTTGCATACCGTTATAATTTTAATATCAACTGGTAGCAACTTTAATACCCAGAAATCAATACCTGCCTGACTATACCAGATTTCTAACCCCTGGTAAACCCTGGAAAGAGTGGAGCTCACATAATATTTTGCCGATCTATGCCCAATGATAAGGTGTTATCCGTCCATAGAGACTGGAATTGTTTGTGTTTGCATTTGCATGTCGATGGCTGTCTGGTCTAATCCGGATACAAAAACGCGAGGTAAATTCCCACTTGTGGAAAATTATTGAGCAGTTAAGTTGTTAATCTCTAATTGACAATAAAGAGTTTTTTAATCGCTCACTCACTGCATTGAATTCCATTCCATTCCACAAAAGTGAACAATGGAATTTAGTTTATATGTAATTTATATACGCGTTAAATTAATGGAGAAGAGGATGAGGTGAATGAAAGTCAGGAGGGTCAGGGGGCTGGGCAGAAAGGGTGTGAATTTTTTAAGGGTATTTTAGGAAATATTGATACATTTGGAAAATTTTTTGAGTGACCAAGAAGCCACGATCAAAATTAATAAATTTTAAATTTTACTTTATAAAATTTAGATTTTTATAAAATTGGCAAAAAATTTTTGATCTTAATTAAGGTTATTATGGCCATTATTTTCGCATTATTTTTGCTCATGCAAATTGAAATTGAGGAAATATTTGGACAAAATTCGAATTGATTTAGCAAATTTTAATATGCTCAAGGCTAAGTTTGGAAAATACTTTTGTAAAAATCTATACAATAAAGATGACATTTTTTTCGGTTTTATGATAGAGTGGAAATTTCAACGTCAACTACGGCGGATCTGAATTTATTTGTTAATATTTGCAACTTCTTAATCTGTTATAATGGGGTTTCAGTCACTCAAAAATTTTGAAAGTGCAATTTTTCAGCAATAATTGTAAAAAGAATGTATAATATTGTTCAATTATTAATTTCCTTGTGGGGTTGTAGTCATTAAAATTTTAAGCAAGGTAGTACATTTAAAAAAATTTGTTATGACTTAAAACTCACGAACTAGCATTAATAATTGAAGAATATCGCAAGATTTAATTTAGAATTTTGTAAAATTTGTGATTTTTACGGGTATAAACAACATATTGATGTAAATATTGATTTTTTAAAAAGTGCACAATTGTTAAAAAATTAAGGAAGGGACTAAAAACCCACGAACAAAATTAATATTACAAATATTACAAAATTAAATTTAGGTTTATCATACGAACTGATTTTTATAAAACTTGATCAAATTTTGGATCGCTAAATATGCACTTGAAAAAGTAATAATTTACATCAACCAATGTATTGTGAAATCTAATCTCGACTTAAGGTTATTAAAATTTGTAAAATTTGTACCTGGGTTTTTAGTTACTCAAAAATTTGAACGCAAAATCTTTGCAGTAGTTGATTTCAATAAATTTCAGCGAGATATTTGTCAATTATTAATTTCCTGGTGGAGTTTTAGAGGCAAATTTTATTAAAACTCACTAATTTACAACGTGGCGAATTTTTCACTAAATCGTAAATTGGTCACTTTCTCACCCAATTTCCCTCTATTTTTACACACGGTATGGCTTTCTCAATTGTCCAAAACTTTTTAATGACTACAACCCCACAAGGAAATTGATAATTGAAAAATATTATGCAGTTTTTTGACAATTAGGGCTGAAAAATTACGCTTTCAACATTTTTGAATGACTAAAACCCCATTATTACAAATTAATAATTTGCAAATATAAACAAGTTAAATTAAGATGTGACGTTCCTGACATCAAAATTTCCACTTTTTTATAAAATCGAAAAAACTGGCAAAAAATTAATATCCTTCCTGTGTTAATTTAAGATTATAATTCTGCGAGAATTGAAGACATCCTTTGTTTTACAGATTTTTGCAAAAGTATTTCCAAAAATATGAGCCTATTTTTAATTTTGCGAAATCAATTCAAATTTTGCCCAAATATTTCCTCAATTTCAATTTGCATTAACAAAAATTATGCCAAAACAGGTGACATCTTTTTTGCAGGGATGTCCTTCCCCCAGTAGCGAATACATATTAACAAAGTGGAAAGTTTGACAGGTTTGAGAGGTTATCGAGATGAATGATGAATGGAGTGGAAGGAATTTATTGTTGCGAAATGTTTATGTATTTACTTACAACTGGATTTTTTTGGCAATATTATTATAAAAGTATATATTTTTTATGAAAAGGATTATGAAAAATATTTATTTTTTGAAATTAAATATGTAAAACTTAAGGATTTTATGTAGATAATTTTAGCTAGTGTTTTAGCAGCAACAGGTATCATAAGCACGACCACCCCCACATTCCAAAGAGTTGAAGACACACCCGTGCGGACAGTGGCGAATGTTGTAGCCGCATTTCGATTCCTCGCAGTGTTCAGTGTTTCTGCAAAAAAATATAGAGAAATTTAAAAATTGTTTATTTCTTAAGGAGAAAAGTTTGCGAATTTGTTTCGCAAACTTATTTTGCGAATGTATTTTTACTAATTTATTTTGAAGCTAAATGGTTAATTTATTAGGCGAACAAGTTGGCTAATTTGTTTCGCGAATTTGTTTTACGAATTTGTTTTACGAATTTGTTTTGCAGTTAAATGATTTCCTTATTGGGGAAAAAGGTTGCAAATTTATTCTGCGAATTATTTTCTAAATAAATGGTTTCTTTATTGGGGAAAAAGTCTGCCAATTTATTTTGCAAACTTACTTCGCAAAACAAGAGAGAGGAAAAATCATTTAGAACGATTTTTAGTAGAGAATACAAAAAATGAGAAATTTTTGAGCTTCTCAATTCGCAAAATATTTACGAAATGAATACCAAATTTTGAAAAAACGGAAACTTATAGACATTTTTTCACACTTGATAATTTTTAGGGTAGTAAATTCACCGCAAAAAAATTCGCAAATTGTACAATTTCCATACCTGTGTTCATACCCGACCCCATACGATTTAAAGTCGTTCGTATGCGTTCCATCCTCCCCGATAGGATTTTCATGACCTCCACCCCCATGACCACCACCACCACCCCCACCACCTCGATGACCACCACCCTCATCCTCGTCATGATACCCACCTCGGTGCCCTCCTCCCCGCTGTCTCAATCTGATCTGACCGGCATCGTTAATCCGATTGTACGCAATGCCCGTCGAGTGGCCCGAGCTGTAGCCACGTTTCACCCGAGATTCTGACGCCACCAGGGTCTCGTTCCCCACAGTTTTCTGTTTCGTGGTCAATCCCGTGGTGACCTCACAGGTCACGATGACAAGCAGCAGCGTGACCCCGGACCCACGAAGGAGAAGCATACTTGCAAAAATATTGGCAACAAAATTTCGCAAACTCGCTGCTTCGTGAAGTGTTTACTTATTGGACGAAATATGTATTGGTTTACATTGCAGGACACAATTAGCTATGTAGCGGTGCAAGGAAGGGATGAGACTTGCAAATTGTTTTTTTTTGCAAAAAAATATTTGCAATAAAAATAAATACTAGAGAATTTGTGTAAAAGTGTGAAATAGTCTGGCCAGAACTGGTACGAAATGTGTAATGGTTTTGGCGAGACGAAGGGGTGACGATGGAGTGAAAATGGGTGAGATTTACATAGATAGACAGTCCTTGGGTCGAAGGTACATTGCGAAAATTTGCAATACATAAAATTTGCAACATAGGTAATTTACAAGTGTCGTATCAAGAAATTGAAGCACGTCGCAGAATCGAAAGGGGTCACTGCGTAAAGAATGTGAATAAGGGGGATTTTTACCACGTGGTCGCGCACGTGGGTGGTATTTTTTAAACCACGTGTTTAAGGGCCCTCATGGCAAAAATTGACCCCGTTCGTCATGCAGGCCCCTTTAGTTGACTTATTGGTTTGGGAGAGGAAGAGGAATTGAACCGCGTTTCACTTGAGTGACCCTCTTAAAGCAGTGAACATCGAGATTGAAGCAGTTTTTCGCGAATTGGATATTTAGAATCCCTTGACTTTGTTGTATTGTTGGTTTTACTGTTCTTTTTTCTTGTATTTCTTCCATGTCTAATTTGGATTTCATCCCTGTGAAGCTATTGTCATTTCATTGTTGTCCACTGAGAAGGAAGGCTTCACTACTTGTCACCCTCAGAGTTGGGGGTCGTTCTTCATTTAAAGTGAATCCAAACCCGAGGGTGACAAGTAGGGAAGCTATATATAGCGCCATGCGGGGGGTAAGGTGTGGGGTGGATATGAGGGATGTCCTTACTGTGGGGTCCCTTCAGATAACCAGAGATTATCTCTGAGAAGTATCGTTGTAAAGAAATGCTTAAATTAATGTTTTTTTCTCCTTTTGGTGACAATCACCGCTTGGCCGTTCAGCATGGCTGAAGGTGAGAGTTTTAGGCATGTATTGATTCTGCCAATGCATCATGACAAATAGGTGTCTACGTGTGTGTGTGACTATTTTTGGGGGATATCTCACAAAGAATGTGTCTGATTTTAAGGGAATTTTGACCTTATCCCACAATTGATGAGATGCCTTGACCTGTCCTCTCTTCTTCAGAATTCAATTTAATCCTTTATTTCAAGTGACAATGGTAAGTGCGCGTTGATCTCAGGATCAACGTTGGAAGAATGAGGTAATGTATGACATGCCTTATGCACACCCACTAATTTGCATGAATAACTGTTAAGTACGAGGAAACAATTAGTTTGCATGGCAAATTACATCCAGATGAAGAATGGATGTGGTAGCAGCATAGATCATGTATATTATTTAGTTCGATTTCGACGTATTCTTTCATGTGTACTTGCCATTTTTGTAATTTTTTCACAATAAATTTCCTTGAGAATAAATAAACGAATTTTTAAAAGTTTAAGGTTTTGTAGTACCAAAAATTGGCTTTATATTACATTTAAGTATGAAAAGTTGCATTTATCTGCAAACTAACTGAAGAGTGAGATTAAAATTCTATCCAGAGATTCCACGATCTCCAGTGGAGATTCTCCACCAGTAAACCACAAACCACTCACATGAGGCAAAAGTATGATCGCAATTCCCAATCCCAAACGGCAAGTCTCATTCTGCCTCCGCATCATTCACTCTCCCAAACCCTCAACACGATTGAGACAATCAAACCACGATTGTGTCATCCTTGCGACCTCCCACCGAAATTTGGACTAATTTTGACAAGTTTCTTCAGAGATACAGAATTATTTTATTTTATTTCTTACAGAATAATTTTGTACTAAATTTCACACGAGACAAAAAAGTAAGACCCCAAAAACCATAAGTCTCATTCTGCCTCAGTTTCATCCACTTTGTCTCAACATGAATCCTCGCGACCTCCCACCCCCCAAAATTTGTACTAATTTGACAAGTTTCTTTACGGATAAATTTACAGAATAATTTCATGCCAAATTTCATACTGTCTGATTCTACCAAATTCCATGCTCTCACTCTCCGTCTGATGTGACAAGAATTTTTTGCGTCTGACTCGGATTCGGATAAAAAAAGGAGTCAGAAATCGGAGTGGAAATTGAAAAAAAGGGAAATATGTGTTAGAAAAATCTATTTAGGCTGATGGAATGTCACGTTCCATCTTCTTTTCAACTATTTTTACGACGCCTGCAAATTAACGCGGACCATTATTATGTTTTCGCTAATTCTTCGTCGTTGTGTGTGTCCCATAAATTCGGAGGGATCAGGTTGACAAGACAGACGTCGGGAAAGGAAACAAATAAAGGATTTGTTTTGTTACGAGGCTTCTTGGCAGAGAGACGCACACAGAGATTTGTTCAGTGGCCGCGGAAGGAAGCGTGGGGACGGAGGGATGTCGCCAAGATTATTTAGTTGTTAGTAGCGTCAGCTATTTATTGTGATCGTTTTGTCTGTCCGTCCGTCTGTCTGTCCGCCCTGCTCAGCAGGCTAGCTCCAGAACGAGTTAATATAATCAAATGTCGTTTTCAAAATTGTTTTTCTAATTTTTGGTTCTCGGAGTTCGATTTCGAAAATGGGGTCAATCGGATCACAGCGTGAGATGGTGTTGTAAAAAAATTATATGGGGTGTTATTTTAAAGGAAATTTCACCATGAATTCAGCGGCGTCAATATTTTTGACCTCATGACCTTGAGGACGAGGTCAAAAGTCAAAAATATATAATTGTCCGTCATTTTAAAGGAAATTTCAAACGGCTTGACGCGACTTTTTTATATTCGTTTACAAGGGTTTATTCGATGTACCCATCATCCATCTGCCCATCTTATATAAACCTCTCCTTCCTCTATACTACAATGTTAAGTCCCCACATGTCCCCACGGCTTCCGCGGCCACTGGATTTGTTGAATAGAGATTCACACTTTATTATTTTAAGCAAGACATGACACGATTGAGATTGAAATGCGTTCTTATTTATTTCTTGGATGAAATTCGGAGCATTTTTCACGAGGAAGAAATCGTAGGCGATGGAATTTATGGGAATTTATGTCGTAAATTTACAAGTTTGAAAAGAGGTTGCATAAGTAAACTTTTGTCTCTTTATTTTGTAACTGAGGAATCCTGAGTAATTGCAGATTTTACACGGATCGGAGTTAAAATTGGGATAATTTAAAATCTGGTTCGAGGTGGCCTATCCGAATTTATGGAAATGTTAAAATTGGGACATTATGAATCTGGAAATCGTATTTTTTCAAGGTGATATGTCCGAATTTATGGAAATTTACAAGTTTGCAAAAAATAGAGTTCATCATTTCTTTATTTTCCACATATATAAAATCACAAAGTCAAAATTTGATCAAACTTTCCTAAAAATACTAAATAATTTTACTTCTCAGCCGTCATTTTTAATCCCAAGTTCCGTAATGAGTGGGATCACAGTATCAAAATCGGTGTTTTCCTCGTCCTGCGAGGCCGACGTGATAACCCCCAACGGAACTCGGGTCGTCTTTTTATGCTCGAGAACAAGTGGGAGGTACATGTCGTCGTCCTCGTCCGTACCCAAATTTGAATTTGCCTCTTGAATTGGGGCACAAACCGTGGCGGGCAAGACGGGCTCCGGGGAGGGCTGAATGAGCAGGAATTCTGGTGGTGGGGGATTTTTGGGGGACGGGAGGACCGTGTCAATCATGAGCGGGGATGCAGCGGCGAAAGTTGCTTGATTTTGTAGCGGCGCATGATTCGACGCGTTGGAGGAATTGGAGGTGGGCGAGGTTCCGATGGAGGGTCGTGTCGTGGGAGTGTTGGAGTTGGTCGTGGGGATGAGGATTGGTTCGGCTGGGGGTGGATGATGAGGGGAATAAAGATGGGGGGATGGGGCATGGACTGGCTGCAGTGGTTGCTGGTTGATGAGAAGGGGAGGATATTGAGAGACTGGAGGGGATGAATTTTGTGAGGATTTTCGTACTCCACCCGGACTTGGGAGACCCGATGGGAATGGGGGTGGTCCTCCTGGCCCGATCCAGTGGGGGGAACCGGCACGCATTTCGGGACTCTATAAATAGTAGGGAGAGCTTTAATTTTAGAAAATTTTGGAAATAATTTTATTTTACTTTTTGAGCTAATTTTTGAAATCGATTTACTCTTCGTTCTGGGAAGCAAGAAAGGAGCATATTTATTAAACAATTTAGGAAATTTGTAAGAAAAATTTAAAAATTGTGAGAAGATATATTTTTTAAACAGGTCATTGAAATTAATAAATTTACAATTTTGTTCATCAGCTTTCAAGACAAGAAATTTGGGAGTAAATTTTTTAAAGTTTGAAGAATAGAAAAATGTAGAACTTTGGAAATTTTAAGACTTATATTTTTTTGAAATTGAGTTACATTTCTGTTCGTCATATAGCTCGTATGTGGTGGAATTCCTAAGGATCCAGGACGTGAAATAGGTAGCTCGAATAGATACGGCAGCCCGGTGACGTGGGTGGACAAAGTTCCTAGAAATTTATTTTTAAAATGCAGGAAATTCATAAACGTGCATTTTTATGCTTTTCTTACTAATACTGGAGGTGGCATATGGCATCGCTGCCTCCAAAGATTTCAACACTTCGACCATTTCTGGACGTTTTTTGGCTAAGCGCTCAGTGCAATGGCGACCAAGGTTGACAAGGACGGGAAACACGTCGGGGTTGTCGCCACCCCCTTTCGCGTCCTTTAACTTGTCCGTAATCCCCTCGAATTCTTCGACCATGTCTTTCTATAGGAGAGAATTAGCATAATTTTAGTGTTTACAAAAAAAAACATACGCAATTTATGTTGCAAATTAAAAAAATGCGAAATTTTGCAATTACAAAAATAATTAAAATTATAAAAAAATTGGTATACAAATTTTCAAATAGTTTGAATATATACCCATTCTCTTTTTTCAGATTCTTATAGTTTGGGGAATGACAATACACTTAAAATGTATGTATACAATTTTTAATTGACTTTTGGCGACAAAAAAATTGTCTAAAAATGGTCACGCCGCTGGGCGAAAATTCATACAAATCGACAAAAGAAAACTATCAAAATTGTAACAAAAAGTACCCAATTTTGATACTACAGATCTGTATTTTTGGATAAAATTCGCACAATTTTGCCCACATGCACGTACCAGAAACTTTTTTTGCCTCTGTTCCTCATACGCCCTCAATCCGGTGGCCAACTCGAACAAAACGATTCCAAAAGAGTACGTGTCGACTTTTGTGGACAACTTTTTTGAGCGGAGATACTCATCCGGCAAGTATGGTCTCGTCCCATGGACACGTGACACCTTAACGTAGGAAGCATTCAGTCCCGCTCCCCCGGGAGTGGTCATCTCCCTCGCCAAACCAAAGTCGCCCACTTTTGCTTCAAAGTTGCGGTCGAGGAGGATGTTGGCGGATTTGATGTCGCCATGAATCAGCGGCTGGGGTCCGATCGAATGGAGGAATTGTATCCCACATGCGACTCCTTTCGCCATGTGGAAGCGGAGATGCCAACTCAAGGGAGGAGTTCGTTGCTGAAAATTAAATATATAAATTAATGAGCTTGTAAATTGCGCAAATATTGCACAGGAAAAATTGTAGGTTGTAAAATTCCTTCAAATTTTCAGATTATAGTATGTTTTACAAAAGCTTGTGAAATGTATTTATAAAATTTAGAGTTCTCAAACAACTGCGTGAATTGCATTATTTTCAATTTAGACGGTTTACTTCATTTGTAAATTTGCAAAAAATACGCAAGAAAAAGGGTGCAAGTTTAGCATTAGCACTTGATTTTTAACCTGATTTTCCTATTTGTTAACAATCTATGCAAGTATGCCAAGCTTACAAAGTTTATTGAATTGCAAGATTTTATTTACCCTGCAAAGTATCCTGTCCTCGAGGGAGCCATTGGTCATGAATTGGTAGACGAGGCAGGGGTGCGGTCCATCGAGGCAGTAGCCATACAGCGGAAGGATGTTATCGTGTCGGTACGAATTTAGGAAACGCATCTCACCCAAGGATTGCTTCATCTGGGATTCAACGTACGCTTCGTTCGGGCGCTACAAAAATATAATACAATATGTTATCATAATTAATAATTAAGATTAGTTATTAAAATCGTGGATTCATCTTTCTCTGTTAGAATCGTCTAAATATTGAGAAAATTTATGTATTTCTTTATCAAATTATGCAAATTAATTGTATAAATTATTACATGCTCCATCCGTTTAATCGCGACCGCAGTATTTTTCCAGTTGCCTTTGTAAACCGTGCCAAATCCGCCTTTTCCAAGCATATTGCGTTTGTCCCACCCACTCGTGGCGGCTGTAAGCTCGGCGTATGCGATGGGTGGGAGTAGCCCGACCGAGGAGGACAGTGCATCCGCCGGTTTGGCGGGTTTAGCGCCGTCTGTAATAATTTATGCAAATTAAAATTGACAATTTTTCATGTTTTTCAAGAGAAATTAATTTAATTACGTCCAGCCGCGCCCATTTTCCCGTCTGCTGCGCCACGATCCGCGCCCCCACCATTTTTATCGTCGACATTGATTATCTTCTTTTTCGGCGAATTAACCATTTCTGGAATGGGTTGATGAAGTTTCGGCGGATCGAGGGCGACGAGTAACTGGGTGGCGTGAAAATCCGTGTCGTCCGGCATATAAGCGTGATACTTGGGGTCGACTGGGGGCCAAAAATGGGTCAAAATTAGTCAAAATTATACCTTTTTGGTCATAAAAACACGTACCATATTTCGCCAAAACCTTCATCGCCCTGCCGTTATAGAGGCGGGCGCAGAGGGTGAAAAGTTCGAGGAGGGTGTGGTTCTGGTTTCCCCAGGAGGTCAAAAGGGCATCCGTAGGTGACCCACCGCGGTACAGGACCCTGCCAAATTCACTCAGTTCGGAAGACGAGTACCCCATAAGGCCCCCGCCGAGCGTTTCCCATTGCGAGTTCTCGTCGAAAATGCGGCAGATTTCTTTCCTGTCGAAAAATGGGAGGTCGTAGATGTACTTTAATGTAGTCGCGGAGGCGGATGACCTTTCAGTGGAGGATGAGTTCATTTTGAGGTCATGTCGAAAACAGGGGGCACTAAATTTAATTGATAATTAAACTTGACTTAATCGTAATTTGTTTTGAGGGGGAAATTCCTGAATAATGTTGAAATAATTTACACAATTTTTAATGATAATTAAACTTTAACGTATCTGCGGGGGCGGATGACCTTTCAGCAGTGCTCATTTTGAGGTCATGTCGAAAACAGGGGGCACTTATATTCATGAATAATTAAACTTTATTTAATTGTAATTTGTTTTGCGAGGAAATTTCAGAAGAATGTATAATTTTTAATTATAATTAAGCTTGAACTGATTTAAGCTAAGGTTCAATTAACTAGTTAATTGTGCTTGATATATTTACGGGGGGAATTCCACTTTATTGTTCAAATTCAATTTGTTAAAACGATGATACGGAATATTTCGTCATTGTGTGACGACGACGAGTGAATAATAACAACAGGTGGTTGAGTTTGGAATTGCAGTTAGCGGTGATGATGATGATATTTAAGAAGCCAGAGGCAGGTTTTTTATGGATGGTTGGCAAAAAATTTGCGACCACCACTACCACACGATAAGGTATATATGGAAGCTACATTTCTCATCTGTGCACCACTACCACTATTTAGCACATTTGTACATGCGAAATAATAAACTAGTTAATGTGTGTATGAGGCCTTAGTATTAACTGAAATGTTGTAGTTTTGAAATTTATGAGATATTTTGCACATTTATACGAACAAGCAGTTAATATGAGACATTTAACTAATCCTAAGTTAATGTACAACTTTTGCATGAAAATCTTTGTAAGATTTATGCAGAAATAAGTTTTGGACATCAGTATGTTTTGTAAAATTGGCATGAAAAAGGCATGCAGAAATTTTTGCATGCATGCATTTATGAAAACAATTAGCGTCGCGTGTGGCATGACATCTTTAAAATTTTCGAAATAACATCAGTATTTTATCGAATTATGATCTAGCTTCATAAAATTGTGTACAATAATTTCCGTATTATTACAGTTAGAGGAAAAAGTTTGCGTACGAGATGTTTCAAGAATTTCAATCCGTTGTCATTTATTCATTTTTTGGAGTATGATGTCCAATTTTTTTCGTAGCATGCTAAATTTATCTAAGTTTCTCACTACGTACAAAATTTCCCCACAAAGTTGCCACTTTTAGCGCCATTAATGTATTTCCGCATGAAGGCTGAAAAACACGAGGAAAAAGTTTGCGTACGAATTGGGTAATTTTTAATATTCGCGACGACCATTTTTTTCGGTAAGCAATTTTTTATAAATTGTAGATTAGATTATTGTCTGTAGTTTACAACAAAAACTTTTTGATTTAAGTCATGGGTCAACCCCGGAAAGAAATTCCCATCCAACTACGGGATTTAATTATTCAGGACTGGAAAGGGGAGAGCTCTGTGAAGTTATCAATGGGAAAAATCTCCGAAAAGTTCAAAATCCCAAAGAGTACAGTTCAGAGGACAATTCAGCGTTATCGGGAGACCGGTGGATTGCAAACCAAGAAAAGGACAGGGAGAAAGAAAATCTTGACACCACGAGAGGAGATCAAGCTCGTAAGAAAAGTGCAGCGGAATCCATTTCTGAGTGCTCCAAAGCTGGCTGCACAGATTGTACAAGAGTCAGGGAAAACCCTCCATCCCAGCACAGTCCGAAAAATTATAAACAAAAATGGTTTACATGGCCGAATACCCCGGAAGAAGCCATACCTAAGCAAAGTAAACAGGAAGAAAAGACTAGCTTTTGCCCGGAAGTATGTATTGAAGCCACCTTCTTTTTGGTCATCAATACTTTGGTCTGATGAGACAAAGGTGAACATTTTTGGCTCCGATGGACACCAAAAAGTGTGGAGAAGACCAAAGGAAGCCCTAAAAAACAGCAATCTCCGTCCGACTGTTAAGCATGGCGGCGAATCAGTCATGGTGTGGGGCTGCTTTGGTGCTAAAGGCGTAGGAAGCTTGGAATTTATTGAGGGAAATATGACTGGGGTATCCTACACAGGGATATTGAACAGGAATCTTTTTGAATCTGGACGAAAAGTTGGACTTGGTCGCCGTTTTACCTTTCAACAGGACAACGATCCCAAGCACACATCCAAGGTTGCGAAGGAATTTTTTAAAATTAACAAGGTAAAAGTGTTAGACTGGTGTCCACAATCACCTGATCTTAATCCCATTGAACACCTCTGGGACGTGACAAAAAGAGAAGTCGGCAAAACCAATGTAAAAAATAAATCCGAGCTAAAAACACGAATCCGGGAGGTATGGGATAATTTAGACCCGGAAGTCATCCGGAACTTGGTTTCTTCGATGCCCAAACGTCTTGAACAAGTTATCAGTGCTAATGGAGGACATACAAAATACTAAGTTAATTTTTTTGTGGATCACATTTTCGAAGATAAAATTAATTTTAAATCGTACGCAAACTTTTTCCGCGTGCTTTTATATTTTGATGGAGAAATTGGTTTTTAGCCCCACCACTGATAATTTCTTTGCAACTTTTTTTACGATGTTAGTATTCGAGATAAATTTAGCATGCTACGAAAAAAATTGGACATCATACTCCAAAAAATGAATAAATGACAACGGATTGAAATTCTTGAAACATCTCGTACGCAAACTTTTTCCTCTAACTGTACTTATCAAAAAGAATTAGCGTAAACGATTATAAAGGTATTTTGCATGGAGTGATTTACTGACACAAACTTTTTTTTGCATTGATTGTGATATTTAGATATACAACTAACATATTTCATCCAAGTTGCGAAAATTTGGTATATATTTTTATTACATAGCATGACATCTTTTTTACAAAAAATTTTGCACATCCTTTTTTGCACACATATTTCAGCACGGTGGAGGATAATAGTACGGACATGAATAGTACTGCGCCGCCATGGAGGGTGCCACCACGCTGCAGCCGGGTCCGGGTTGCATCGGGAGATTGAGCCGACCTTTGACCGTGGCCCAGTTGGGCGTGGTCTGGCTGAATTTGAGGAGCGGGTTGTGAGCCTCCTTGATCTTCATCATGATCTGCACCACTTCCGGGGGGATGAGGGGACCAGGTGGCGGAGGAGCTGGAGGAGGACAGCAATTTGCTTCACCACCACCACCAATCGTGAGGGAACGGAGCCCCCCATTTTGCATGGGACCTGAAAATTTAAAAATAAATAAGACTTGAAAGTTAGGGAAAATCTTAAGTTTCTATGAGGAAAATATGGTGGCGTAAATTTGTCGACATGTCGAAATAACGTCACAATATTTCTTGAAATCTGTTCAAATATTTCGTAGTTAATAATCCGTAAATATTCTGCATGGCGTGGAAATAATACGGCAAATAAGGAAATATTCACTGAAAATTGAAAGGTGAAAAACCGAGATGCGTCGCCAAGTTTGTCGACATGTCGAAAAAATATGTTGCCAAAAAAATCCAGATCTATTAAATAGGGTTATTTTTAATCCACCAGACTTTTAATTGAAATCACATAACTAAATATATTGAAATCGCATAACTTGAATTTCCAGTGCTTTAATTCAATTTAAAAATTGTAAACTTGAAATCTGCCAGACTTTTTAAAATCGTGAATTTTATTCAATTTAAAAAATTTACCATTAAAAATTTAAGGAAAACATCAGTTATTGTTTTAAAATGTGTTGCAAATTAATTTAGGCAAGTATGTAATGCCCTATGTGCCTTCGCGGAGCGATCCCTACGTCACTTTGTCCCAATAGTCACAGCTTCGTCTCTCTGGATTATTGCAATTCCAATGAAATGGATATATGTAGATGTACATATAAGTGCAGGCATACCGGTTACTTAGGATTAGTAGACAACGAAATCCGGGCACCCCAACTTACTTTTTAAAGGAGCTTGTTTCTTGTCGATGCTTTAGTTAACAGATTTTTTTGCAGTTGGAGGTCATAATCATATGCCGCGTGTCATAAGACATTAAAGACATTCTGTCTCTGATATTCTGTGTTAAACACTGTTAGAAATCCAGTATCCAAATAATACCAAACGGTATTCAGATATGACACTATGAAAGTGGTACTGATTGATATGGTGTAGTAATAGATCGGTATTAAAGTTTACCGTATCAGTAGGAAGGTTTTACGGAAAGATATAATTTTAATACCAAACTGCAGCAACTTAAACACCAAGAAATCAAAATCAATACCTGATTATACCAGATTTATTACACTAAAATAGTTGCAAAATTCCTTATTGTGTCCGATTTTATACTAATTTGCACCCTTAGGTCAAGGTAGTATCGTTTACTATTGGTTACAAAAGCAAGAGATGGTGTTATTTACCTGAAAAGGCACTAAATTAATGGGGTTTTGCATATAATTAAATGCATAAGTTATGAAATTCCGTGTCTGATGGATTCAGTTATAGAGGTTGTTTTAAGGCATATAAAGTACTGGAAATTCAAGTTATAGAATTTCAATATATTTAGTTATGTGATTTCAATTAAAAGTCTGGCCCATTAAATGAGACCCTATTAAATATTTCGTGATTCATAAACTATTAAAATCCTGCGTGGCGTGGAAATACAGCAAATTTGGAAATTTGTACTGAAAATTGGAAAAAATTCGGGGTGAAAAGCTGATACGGGGCCAAGTTTGTGGACAAAAAGATATGTTGCAAAATTATGAAAAAAATAAATTTATTTCAAAATCTTCTTCTATTGAGCAATAAAAAGTAGAAATCTGTTTAAACATTTTGAAATTAATAATAAATTATTAAGACTCCTGCCTGGCATGAAAATGTGACAAATTTGTAAGTTTGCCCTGCAAATTGAAAAAAATTGAACTTGGGATTTACCGAATTTGGCTACTGTCGATAAATGTCGCCAAATTGAACAAATTAAGAGAATTTTTGAAGAAGGGCTAACGGATCTAATTAAATGTTCTGTAATCAATAACGAATTAAAACCTATACATGGCGTAAAAATACGACAGGTATTTGTCGAATAATTTGTCGAAATAATTTGTCGAAATAATTTGTCGAAAAAAATACAAATGGGAAAAATTGTGGGTCGAACTTAAGTTTGCGGCATGTCGACACAAAAATGTCGCTAAAACAAATAAATTACACGGTATTTACTACCTCCTATATATGTATATGTAAGCGTTTCATAAAAAATCTGATAAATTCGCACATAGTATGAAATTTGCAAAAAAAACTTCAATTCTAATTTTCTTACCCAAACACGGTCCCATATTTAATCTGAGCGTGGCCTTTTTTTGACACTGGTCGCCAACTCGGATGTGAATTCCGTCGCTGGTTCGCATTCCCATGAGCGCTTCGGCCACTGCCCGAGCGCTCTTTTTGTCCTGCGCTCCTCCGTCAGAGTCATCCTCGCTGTCGTCGCTCCCGCGACGGTGGTGGCGATGGTTGTGACCTTTAGCCTGACCTCCCCCCGGACAACATGGTTTCGGCGGAGGATCCGGTTTCGGTTCGAGGGCAAAAAATTCAAAGATTTCGTTGGGACCTGAAATGCAAAAAAATGTTTGGATCAGAAAATGAAATTTTGGGGGGTATAGGAAAATATTTAGTCAGAAATTTTTTTCTTAGAAAGTGGAAATTGGTTTTTGTCAGAAAATGAAATTTGTAGTCAGAGAATAGAATTTTTATGTTAGAAAATGGAATTTTGGGTAAAAAAAAATGAAATTTTGTCTCAGCAAATGAAAATTTCTGTCAGAACGGGGAATTTTTGTCCAATAAATTTCAACTTTGAAACTTTCATCGGAAATTTTTTTTCAGAAAATGGAACTTTTCGTCAGAAAATCGGGTAAAAAATTGAAGATTTGGTCAGAATATAGAATTTTGGGTAAAAAATGTTTTCCAGAAAATTGATCGAAAAATTTAATTTTTGGTCCGAAATGTTTCAAAATTTTTTCTGGGTGACCTTTATCCAACGGTGCCAAGACCCTTCTCAACTCTTCCAACTCGGGGACAGCCAATCCACGCTTATCTCTGGGTTTGAGTTGCTCCTCCCTCCACCGTTTCGCCTCCCTGTTACGTTCCAGAACTTCCACTTGACGACGAGCTTCTTCTCCTTCGAGCAGATCGGCGAGCTAGCTTAAAAAAAATGAAATTTGACACTTATCAAGATGACCTTTTACCTTTGACCTTATCAAAATATGGGCTTATCCGTTCGTCCCAGAGATTGGATTTCTAGGGGTAAGGTAAACACAAAAATGGTCGAAAATCTCGCAGCAGATATACGAAAATAGTTCGTTTTGTGAAGAAATTAAATTTTTATCGCGGTCAAAATACAATGTTTTCATGATTTTTTGAAAAAATAATGAATTTTGACAGCGATAAAAAGTAAATTTCAAAAATTTTCAGCGTAGATTTTCATCATTTTGTTCACGACGACTCCCAGAAAATCAAGCCTTGAGAAGAACGGAGCTCAAAAACTACTTGATTTTGACAAAGTATTTTTTTAAATTGATAAGCGCTTATCATGTGACGTTATTTTTTTTACCCACCCACATATCATACTCCTGCGCTAATCGCTTATCCTCCATATCGACCCGTCTCCTGCGCCAATCATCTTCCTCCGCGCAACGCCTCCGTTCCAACTCTTTCTGCATGACGAGACATTCTCGATGCCGTTTTTGCGTCTCGATTCGTTTCTTGTACCGTTCTTTGGCACGTTTGCGCTGCGCCGCGTCCTCGTCGCGGACCCGGTCTGATTCCCGCTTTTTGGCGGCGGTCTGAATTTAAAAAAATATCACGTGATATGCTAATAAATTGAATTGACTACTTACCTGCCACCGTTCGATAAGCTTCCATTTGCTCTCGCACTCGCAAAGTTCTGTATTGTGGACGATAACGACGGGTTTTTCGCGCTCGATAACGGTCGGAGGAGCGGGCGGGGGGCAGGGAGGTGGCGACCTTCGGCGGTGGCGGGAAGGGTAACAAACTCCATGTTCGCAACGATCAGAGCAAGACGATGAGGAATCTGAACGGTGGCGGTGGCGTTTCTTTCTGTTGTGACCTTGGGGTCGATCATGATGTTGACCTTGACCTCTCTCGTGACCTGGGGGTCGATCATCATCATGGTTACCTCCGTGACCTCTCTCGTGACCTTGTCGTGTCGTAAAAATGGGTCGATGACATCGCAGAGCCGGATTTTGTACGGCGTTTCCCGGGCCGCAAACTTTTGCGGGAGCTTTGAACCCCGCACAAGCCGTGTTGCAATGCCCGTCGGAACAGAAAGTGACTCCGGGACGGTGTGGGAGCCGTTTTCGAAATGCGGTCTCGTCCTCTGTACAACCGCAGTAGTTTTGCGGCGTGGCGCCGCAACGGAGGGGAATTTGGTTGCGGGGTCTGGGAGAAAAATATGTAAATGGAGAATTTTTTAGAGATATAATTTTTTGGAAGGGTTTTTATTGTAGAAATATGGCAGGTTTCTGGGAATGAAAGTAATTATTATGGGGGCAAGAAAGAACTAGAAAAAGAAACGTTTGCCTCAGGAATTGTGTTTTTGGGTTAGAAAATAGGAATTTTTAGGTCAATTTGGCTCAGAAAAAGATAGTTTTGCGTCACAAATGGAACATATACATATGTAGATGAAAAATGCAGCTTTTTTGCCAGCAAATGACAACTTCGCGTCAGAAATTTTCCCAATTTTTGACCTATACATTTTAAACTTTCATAAATATCGTTTTTAGGAAGGTTTTTTCTCCAAAATTTTGTAAGAATTTGTCCTACAAGCAACAAGGAATTATTTTAGATGGAAAAGTGTCGAAAAAATTGTGAAATTTTTATAAATACAATTTCGCGAAGCTTTTTTCTATACAATTTTTCAACACGTATTTTTTGGTGGGAAAGAAATAACCTGAACTGGAAACCCCCACGGGGAGGACCGTGACCTTGACCTCGACCGAATCCGACGTGACCTCGACCGAATCCGACGTGACCTCGTTGTTGTTGTGGAGCAGAACAGGGGCAGCAACCTCCTCCTTCCTCCGGGGGATGATGGGGACCTTTTAGACCTTTTAGAATGGGTGGATGCGCTGGATGTGCTGGTGGGGGGAACATATTTAAACTAATTACAATTAACTAACTACCATTTTATTTCGAGTGAAAATTTATTAAAAAATATAATGATCTATTGTTTGGAACGATTTTGACTTTGTCGATGCTTGGTAACAATTACAGGTTTCATGCAAATAAATATTCGCGAATAAATTGAGCGTGTGAATCGAATAACGACTTGTCAACAAACTCATTTTTTTTCTTCTGGTATTACCATGGATATTTTAAAAAATATTCAGAGGTCAATTATTTATAAAAATGATTTTTATAAAGTGTTCACTCTTAGATTTTAGCCCGAGTCAGAGGGTCACATCCGTATGTCTGGTTTGTGATAACTCTCTTTAAGCTAATCCGATCGTCTTGAAATTTTGCACACAAGTAGTATGGGTAAAAGGAGGAGTTATGTTCGAAGATAGGCGAAATCGGTTGACCGGTGGGGGTCATCTGGGTGGGTGGGGTACTATGCACTAAAATATCAAAATTGCAGTAGAAAGCTGAAATTTGGTACAGATGGTTCCTAATGGAAGAATATGAATTCAAAATAGAAAAATTATGATCTGAAGGGACCCCAGGGGGGTGACCCACACCGACTTTAAAAATCGTAAAATTTAAATTTGGCGTTGAGGTTGCTAATGGGTTGTAATGGAAGAGGATACATTGGAATTAAAAAAAACTCATCTTCAAATTCTTGAAGGACTCTGTCGGGTGACCCTCGCCGATTTTCAGAAATTAACATGGAAAGCTGGAATTTGGACCAGAGATCCTTATTGCTGATAACTGTAATATAGAGTCAAATATGAACTAAAATTAACCAGAGGGCACTAGGGGGTACCAAATACCGATTTCTAAAAGTTGATATAATCATCGTAAATTTAGTATGGAGTCGAAAATACTTATGATTAGCATATGGGATGGTTGAATTTCGAAATTTTTATAGGGGCGACCTCTACTGGTCGTGGGAAGTAGTCAAGGGTAAGGGATAGTAAATATTTGTAGAATTTGAAGCCAAGTATATGTTTTTAAAGAAATTTTTAAAACCTACAGTGCAGACTTGATATAGCCCAAGTTGTGGTTAGCATGAAATTTTATCATAAATGCATGTAAAACAATTTTAAAATTTAAATTCATACTATTCGAATAGTAACAATTAGGAGCCTGTGTAGCAAATTTCAATTTAAAAAATCTGTATGGGTCTCTCGTCACCAATACGGCCCCTCCAGATGAAAATTGTTCCTATTTGAATTCATAATATGAATTTCATATTGTCCCATTAGGAGCCATTATAAACTTCTCTACTAAATTTCAGCTCGATTTGATTTTGAAAAATTAGTTTGGGTCACCTCATAGGGTCTGTCCAGATGAAAATGTGTTTAATTTCAATTTATACTCTTCCATTAGCAAACCCCACACCAATTTTCAGTTCGATTGGATGTTTTAAAAATCGGTATGGGTAACGCCCAAGGGTCCCTCCAGATGAAAATTTTTGAAATTTTACTTTATATTCTTTCATTAGAAACCATTATCAACCTCTGTACCAAATTTCAGCTTTCTGCGACAATTTTGACATTTTGGTGCAAACACCCCACCTACTCCGATGACCCCCACCGGTCAACCACTTGACCGATTTCGCCCATCTTCGAACTCGTTTGTCCAACACGCTCTACTTTTACTTCGTCGTGTTTTACTTTATTCGAGAAATTAAGATGAATCCGGACGGAGGAGGGGTTCAATCGACGACGTACTCGTACCAACCGGTAGTAGCCTCGTCGCAAGTGGCTTATCAACCGTCGTATTATCAGCCGGCTTATCCGAATTATTCGAGGGGAAATCAAGTCAATTATCAGCAGCAGCAGCAACAAAATCAAGCTGGGGTAACGGACCAATGAAGAAGTATTCAGGATTTGAAGTGTGATAATCACACTTTGAGATTTCAGTAGGTGTGATTTAGGCGTGATTTAGGCGTGATTTTTGCAAACTCTTTTTCGCTAGTTGTGATTTATGTGATATTACTGGGACGAAAGTGAGACAATTAGATTGAATAAAATACATTGTGTGACGAGACAAACTTGGTATTTTGATTCGGCACGAAATTCTGAGCATTTTTCGGTACGACTTGCCCGATTAGAGCAAAGGTGCAATTTGCATTTGATTTGTAGATATATGATAAAAAAAACTAACAAATTTTAAAGTGGGACAGGGACAGAAGGACATCCTCGTTCCAGGGGTTGGGGACCTATTGTAATTAGGTAGATGTGTTTGGAGTGGGAAGATATGTACATTAAACTATTTCAAATTAATTAACTCATTTTATTTTGCGTGGAAATTGATGCGTGGGAACAATTATAAGTTTTATTATGCAAACAAATAATTCGGAAAAAATGTACCCATCTTTTGTGCAAATCTGATTTCCACATTTTTCCTGCCGTACAAAAAGTGACTAAAATTTGTGAACATGTCGCAAATTGACGACGCCGCTCTGAATCCGCCTCAATCTGCGCTTGCGCCACAATTTGCACCTCTGCCTCCTCGGAATCCATTTTCATGCTGTCGCACTCTGCAAGAAGGGGTCAAAGCTGTCGCTATTTTTGAAATTGTGATTCCTTGCAATTTTTTGCAATACAGTGAATTTTTAATTATTTTTTTTTGATTTGCAGGTGTTCTCCACCATTTTAATTGTGACATTTGGTGCGTTATATGTTGTGCTGATACGCATTCTTGTAGGCCCAGATGAGAGTCCAAGTTCGTTGGCGATACTAATGATCTTATTCTGCATAACTGTTTTCACCTTATTTTTGGCGTTTGGAGTCGTTCTTCTATTTTTTTGCTATTGAGGTACTGCGAGGCAAACCGGATGGATTTGAATTGAATTTCAGCCCGCCTCCAATGTTAATCAAGTGGTCACGTGATTTTGGCACGTAGAAAATCTGTCCGGTTGACTTCACAACATTAACTAAATTCTTGCCGAGAAATGTTAAAGCTAAAGCATATATCTACGTACAAATTTTTCTGAAGGAATTTTTTTAGCGCCATATAAATTAACTCTGCCAAACAACCTCTCAGATTTTTTTGTCTCTATTAATTTTCAATGACCACTGATTATTGCAGAGAAACGCTAAAGCATGCCTGGCCTGGCTGGTTGTCCACATCATCTTAGATTCCGTTCGGTTCGCCCTCAGCTTGTTTCATAACATTGATGGCGGCCAAATTATGGAATTTGCATACTTCAACTACGCCTCGATTGCCGTTACGCTGCCCTTTTGGTACGTGGTGTACCGCTTTATTCGAGAAATTAAGGCCAATCCTGACGGAGCAGGGGGGTGCAAGCGTCGAACATCTCGACCGGAATATCCAGTACCGACGCAGATGGCGTATGATCAGGCGGCATATTCGAACTATAACTTTAATCGACAAATTTGAATCTCCCGCCAAGACGCGGCACGCTTAGTGACAACATATACGAGTTGTTATTTAACCATATTATTTACACATTGTTAGAAATATGTTATAGTCTGGCAGGTATTGATTTTTCGGTATTAAAGTTGATACCGCTTGGTATGAAACTTGTACCAGTCGAGAAATATTCGCTACTGATATGGTAAAACTTTAAGACCTAGCTGTTACTACGTTGTATTACTTATTAATACCGCTTTGGTAGAGTGAATATGAACTATTATTATGAATACCGGTTAGTATTGTTTTAATACTGGATTCCTAAGAAAACAAAACATTGTCCACCTTTCGTTTGCATTATAACTAGTCTACACAAGGATGTCTGTGTAAATTTAGTAATTAAAAATAATAATCATAATGCAGCTTGCGAAAATTGGTCAAAAATTGTAAATTTTTTTCAGAAAAATTCTTAAATTTTCAGCGAGAAGATGGTATAAGTTAGTAAAGTTAGTAAATTGCATCCTTAATTTCACTTCTATTTTGTTAAATATCGTCACTTTTTCATAAAAGGTGTATCATTTTGAGATTTTCGGAGGTATTATTTTCACATTTTTGTAAGCATTTAATTACTCTAGATTGCTCTCGATTTGCGGCGTGATCACTGAATTTATTCAAGGTTTTCATAAAATTTTTGCCAATACTACGTACGATGGAATTTTTCAAAAAATGATTCAAAAAATCAATAGTTTCACGATCAAATCAAAATGTGGCTTAAATTTTCATAAAAAATCATCTTTAATATTAACATTGAAATTTTACGTGTTAAAATTAAAATTTACTTGGATAAAATTCACTTTTAAATATTTTGGAAAGTTTCACTTTTCATAAAGAAAATTGTTTCCTATTGACGTCGGAATAAGTAATGTATAAATTTTTGTATATAATATGAGATACAAGATAGAACGTCTGTCCTTGGGGTTTGATACATAAATCTAATTTTTTGAAATTGATAATTTTTCAGTTTTAAATATTTCCCGTTAAAAAATTATTTTGCAGAAAATGATAATTTTTTAAGCTTTTTATTACGTGTTTTTTTATAAATGGATTTTTATACTTTAGCAAAAATAGTGTTTAATTTCACTTTTATTTTATTATATGTCGTAACTTTTTCCTACAAATTTCCCAGAAAGTTCCTCTTGAGGGCTGAGTAGTATTAATTTGCAGATTTTGAAAATATTTAATTACAATAGATTTATATGACTGCGTAGGTGCAATTATTATTTTTTTTTACTTTGGCTGCATAATCACTGAATTTAATTTGATGTTTCCATAATTTGAACCAAAATTATGATTGCATTTTCACAAAGGATGCACAAAACAGTAAGTTTTACGATCAAGTCGTAATTAATTTTCGTCCAAAATCATCTTTGCATTTGCATTAAAATTTAAATTTAAATTCTAAACAATAAAATTAAAATTTACTTATATACATATAATTAACTTTAGCCAGCAGGACTAGAGCTGGATGAGATTTTTTACCTTTAGGACGACAACAATTAGAGGAATTTTTTTTAAATATTCAGATAGGGAAATTTATGTATGGCGCTGGTCGT